TATATATATATATATATATATATATATATATATATATGCCATGGGATTAGTAGAAGACGAGCAAAAGTGTATCGACGTGGCCAACCTGTTCTACGTGCTCTGGTTTCGATATGCCGAAACCCACAGCGACCGGTTTATCTGTTGCCTGTGTGAAGAGATGAGAAAATGATTATTGCTCGTTACTTCAGAAAGTATATATAAACAAGAAAAATAGCGGTGGTGTGTTCCTACCAAATATTTCAAAAGCTAGTGAATAAAGCAAAAATGCAATCTTAAAGAGATTCTAGTTGTTTCCACACATTGAATTATTTTTAAAAAAAGTGATGCCAAACAGGCCCTAAATTTCCGAAGGGATTTTGTACATGTAAAATTTGGCCCAAGAAAGAAAACGTGATAAAAATACAAGTACCTACCCATTTCATGCAATGAAAATTAAAAGGTGAAAAAGGTTGAGAGGGGAAACCTTCTTAATATCCTGAAGCAGAGACTGCACGCGCATACTCACAGATGAACGAGTGCCGGTGACGCCAACAGAGCTCACCTAATTTTACGTCATTTTGAGAGCGAGATGCAGGATAAATCAGTGAAAATATTCAGTAGAGAAAATATAAATAGTTCATTAACATTAAAAAAAAAAAACAAGGCTTACAAGATACACAAATCCTTCTGAAGCTTCCACGATTGCTTTCATCCTATCAGAGGGTGTTGTGGGCGTTGTAAGCAACACCTTCATTAAATTACGAGCAGTTCATACAGTAATAGATGTAAAATATACATGATTATAATCACAATAAAAGATTAAGAGTTCGAAATATGCTCTCAATTTCATCATCATCGTCATTATTAACATTATTCCAAATCATAAATTTTCATTCATTTGTATTGCCTTGCATGAGGCGTTACCAATGATGATGATGAAATTGAGAGCATAATTATGACTCGCCTATAGGCGCATTTTCTGTCCATCATTGTACTTATCCAAACCACTCTTCACCTTAAAGTTCAATAAATGCTATTTCAACATATCATCTAATACAATCATTCCTTCAGACTTTATAATTTTGTCACAACTTCATCATAACATTTTAATTTTTGTTAGACTCAACTGTGATATTAATGATTTTTTTATAGCTTAACATTCAAATACATACAAAATCATCCGTCGAATTACAATTTCATAAAATTTACCTTTATTTAGCCTCCATGATACCGTCTTATAAAGCAAAATTCGTAGGGCATTGCTCATTTCGCCCATCAAGCCTTAATTCTAGTTGTAACCTTATCCATATCTCTATTGTTTTATATAATATATCCAAAATACTTAAATGTACCACACCTATGTATCATCTTATGTTACAATGATATTGAATGATAATTATTAACAGCAAACATACTAAAATTATATACTATATAGATCATGGCGTCGTCTTCCTCGCTCGACTCTGCTAGGCGATCTTAGCAACAGTTACGACTTCGTTGTTTCCTCTCAGCAAATTCGCGCTCGATTATGTTCGTCTCCCCCGCTTCTTCTCTGGCTCTGAGACGAGGCTCGTCTCCCGTCTTCCGGTCTCGTGAGCTTTCCTGGCTCGGGATTTCCAGTCTCCGCGGCTCGTCTCGTCGGTACCGCTCGCGTGTTCTGCGGCTCAGTCTTGCGGGTACTGCTCGCGATTTCTGTGTTCTCTGCGCTTGTCCCGTCTCACAGCGTCCTCCCCTTTCATAGCTTCGGCTATTTCGATGCGATTTTTTCCCTCGTCTGCTTTCTTCTCTGAACGTCGCACCTGTCTTTGAGGATGACTTCGAACAAATCGTATGCAGCTGCTCTTGCCAGTGTCCACGCCTCAGGCACACCAAAATCGTCATATTTCCCTCCTTCGTTTGAGTGGGCGGAGGACATCTAGAAACATAATAAGAAGAATGGGAAGTCTGTCATCTTTTTTACAGAAGCTGAAAGTATTAACTTGCTTCCTCTTGTCGTTTGAATTTGGTTGAGAAATTTTTATATGGTCATCCCAAACTTAAAATTATTTGCAAGAGCTCATTCACAAATAATTTAAACTTATGCACCTTGTTAGAGAATGAAAAATTGGACTATTAGATGGGAGACACATTCTTATTTAAATTAATAATTAAATTAATAATGAAGAAGATTAATTAATAATGAAGAAGATTACATGCACTTATTTGCTATGAAATTTCATTAATTTTCTCAAATAATATTATAATCTATTGCCTCAGCTTATGGGAAGCCACTTAATACAGACATTCCTACTTTTAATATGTCCCGTCCTTCTGAAACCGGAGTACTTGTTGAAAGAGACATCACTTCACCCACTTCTAAGGAAATTGGTTAGGCACACAACACCATGGATATTGACAGAAGGTAGAGATTGAACATTTTCCGTCATATTGTCCGAACTGTCGTATGTTCGGACACTCCAATTCTCAATGTCACCATCTACACTCCCAACTCAAACCAAAAAACCAAACTACTCCGCTAGAGACTGTGATTCCATCTCCTGATCAGCTCCCAGTTTTTGACACTATTGATCATCAGAAGGATATCTCGGACGACGTCACTATCCCCGCAGGCAATATGACAACTATTCAGTCCCCAGTTGTAGCTCCCTCGTCTTTGAAACCTCCTATCGTGGGGGAGAGGGAGTTTCTTCAGATCCCGCCTGCCTTAGAACTTATCACATATAGGTAGAAATGCTTCTACTGCTTCACTACCGCCTCATCAAGTCCAGAAAGATGCTAATATTATTCAGGCTCATGGGGATCAAGACGTGCAACGACCTACACCTGTCCGACCACCTTTGGAATCTACTGATCAGATGAGTCAATCATCGGATGAGGAATGACAGGTCAACACATCCAGGAGGAAGAAGAAAAATGAAAATCTTCTTGAACTCAGGAACCTGATGGATGATACTTTGGTTACTACGGGCAATGGTACTCACTAATGTGTTAGTCAACTTACTTCCGAGAACTAGAGGCAGGAGGACTAAAGTGAGACGTCCCTAGCATTTTTGTGTTATTTTGTGGTTTTTTGGTTTTTTTACTTTTATGTATCTTTGCTTTATCTGAGTTTTGTGTGTATTGTATTGTATGAGTTGAGCTTTCTTTTAGGCCCTCTCATACAACATTTCTATATCTTTTCCGTATTAATATATTTGCCCTCGGGCTTTATATATATATATATAGGATATTTATCTTCTAAACATTTATTCCATTGTTTTATTTTTTTTATAGATTAGAATGGTGGAGGAAACTTTATAGAAGTTAATGCCCACAATTTCACTTAAGAAAAATTATTAGAAATAATCTCATGAATTCCAGTATCTTTTACAAAGGCAAAAAACATAGGAATAGAGAATATGGTCAAGCAACTATAAATGATGAATTAGCATCAGATCATCAATTTCAAGACTATGTATAATACATGTTCATAGTATCTTTTAGAGAACAAATTTTATCCCAAAAAGTAGACGGAAAGAAAGGGAGGATATGAGTGGCAATGACCTACTAACTTGGTGTTCAAAGTTTGGTACCCATGGGTGGGAAAGTAAAATGGAAAAAGGCTCCTTTAGTTAAAAAATGTCCATAAATTTACCCTTTTTGCTAGCACCCCTCAACATCCATAAATTTACCCTTATGGGTGCAGCGCAAGAATTACTTACCATTAGTATGAGACATGTAATCAACAACTAGTTATTTTATAAAATATATCAATTCAAAAGTTAGAGAGAAATGATCATTAGGAAATTTAGGTACACATTAGCAAATTGCTATTAATGAAAAGTTGTGAGCTGAAACTAAAAATAATCCCTTCAAAAGAAAAAAAAAAGGGTAAAGAGATACATCAAGATTTTGTAGGATCAATATTTATAGAATAAAAAACAGGAGAACTAAATTAATACGTCAATCAGAGCCTCATAATTCCTACATTTGTTACAAACAAAAATTTAACATTCAAGGTTTCATTAGCCAAACAAAGTAATTCAAAAAAAAAAGAGAAAGAGTTTTATTCCCACAATCATATGCCAAATAATAATAACAGGAAGCATATTCCAGTGGAAGTAGGAAGAGAAGTTTGGAGATTTATTTGATCACAACATATAATGAGATGCTTGAAAAATTTTGGGAAATTAAAAAAAAAAAAACTCAAGTAGCAAAAAAATCAAAAAGCAAAAAAAATCATTGCAATCAATAGTAATAATGACAGATGATAAGAAGGACCTTCTATTGGACATGAATAAAATAAAAGGACCTAAATTCAAATTGTCTATGACCACATAACAATATCAAACTGCTAGACATAAAAATACAATAGTTTCTTCAGATTGATGTTGAGATTCTTCACAACAATTTGGGTGAATAAGAAAAAAAACACAAATAGAAAAGTATTCAACAAACAATAAAATAATTGCAAACCGGTATTAAAAAGATGATAGGGGATAAAAAGACCTACTAACTCCATATTATGTTTGGTAGTTTCATTCCTCAAAATTTCAGTCTCCTCTAAAGGAACGTCAGGCACAACAAGCCCTGCAAAATAAATAAAAGAAAAAAGAAAAAAAACCTATATTATAAATCAAGCACTAAAAAGTGATCTAACAACAGAAGCAAGAAAAAATTAACTATAATTCATCATTACATTAATTTTAAGTTCCCCCAGACAAGGAATAAACAAGAAAAGTGAAAAGAACATTATGAAAAGAAAGGATCAAAAAGTTATTTTAAGCTATAAGGCATGGGCTTGAAATAGAACTTTCCTCCATTGTTGTTTTCTTTGATTGCACTTCATTCAAGACATGTTTATCCCTATATATAATACTAAACGAGTGTATATGAAATTAGGATTTGATAATTGGCGCATTCTATGAATGCCACATGACAATTTTTAATTTGAATTCAAAATATATTTAATAGTTATGAAATGACATTTAGTAATCATGATTATTTTATTTAATTTTAAAATATCGCGTCCTTCAACTTATTACTTTAATTTGAATATTACACTTAATACAATTTCAATGTGAAAAATACAACCACATATCGCATGTCATTAGTTTTAAATTTAAATTAAAATTAAAAACTTTAATTATTAATTTAATATTTCACAACTACATCATATATTTTGTTACTTCTAAATATAAATACAAATTCACCAATAATTACTTGATATTTAATAATTGTATTTAGTTGCTAATTATATAATATATATGACATTGGTAGCTTTATATTTAAAATGAAATTTACTTTTAATTTATGTTTATTTGATCAATCTTTAATAATTTTAAATCTCTAAAATACATTATAATATAATTAATAATTTAAAAAAAAAAAATTATCGCTGATATAATCCATTGTAATGCTAGGATTTGCTAGTTTGATCCTAATTTTTCACATCCGTCTCACCAAAAAGGCTCCATGCAAGTACACTGGATATAAGTTTTAAATAAAGTGCCTTGCAACAAGATCAATCATAAAAAACGTTATGGAAAATACCATGTATACCAACATTCTTAATGGTAGACATAAATTTTTCAACCCCTTGCTTCAGAATCGGGTTATAATATGTAAATAGAGCAATGGGACAGGACAACTGTGGCACTACCTGCATGAAAAATAATTTAAATATTTTGTAATTTTTAATACAGAATTGAACTCATCAAGAAGCAATGCATACATTTAATAAACGAAAGGCGCTAAAATAAAATTGATGATACACTAACTTAGTAGCATCTGCCATGTATCCCTGGAAGAATGATGCTTTATAACCACAGCATAAAATAACCCATTTTCCCAAACCATTGTTAACATGACTATTTGTACAGAATGCCATTCATGCGTTTGCATAATACAAGTTTGTATCTATATATGCATGTGTAGAAGCTAGAAATAATTTGATTCCCCCTTCTCTCAAACATTGCACTACAGAACATTATATAAAATAACTACCATAAATAAATATGAATCCCTCTAAATAGGGAAGAACATAAAATAGGAAATACAAATAAAGAAAATGCATATAGGGAACTGATTTTCTAAGATACTAAGATAAGGAAATAAATTTTTTCTTAATATAGAAATTTTATAGGGAAGAAATTCCACACTCCCCCACAAGCTGGGTATATGGGTCATATATGTTGTAAAGACCCAACTTGATATTCAACTCAGCGAAGCTGCCTGGAAGTAGAGATTTAGTGAAGACAAAGACTACTTAATATTTTCTCTTGTTTGGGACAACTTTCTGTCTGTTTTGCATTTCAGACCGTCGCCACAGTTCTGTCTGGGGAACTGATTTTTTGTTATTTTTTAGAAATTTATATGGTGGGAAGCTGTTTTTTTTCAATATGGTCTATTAAAATGCAGTGGTTGTAAGAAAGTTGTTATTCGACTTTTTGAAAAAAATATATATATATTGATACTTCTTGCCGCAACTTTCTAAGAAGTTGATTTCTCCACCATTGTTTTACAATAATTTTTTAAAAAACTATAAACTCTAAGTGTATAATGCCTCCATTGACCTTTTTAAAGATAAAATGTCTATCAATATAAATGTGTTTGGTCCTATCATGATGCAAGATTCCTTGGAATATTAACGAAAGCTCGACTGTCACAAAACATCTTTATGGGATTGAACATGGAGCATCTTAACTCATTTTATAAACTTTGAATCCGCATTCCTTCACAAATTCTCAAATTAATTGCTCAATACTCACATTCTGCACTACTAGAGATTATTGCTTACTTCTCGCTCTGCCATGTGACAAAATTTTCCCATACATAAGAACAATACCCAGATGTAGATTTTCTGCCCATAAATTCTGTCCAAATAGCATTAGTATAAGCTTCAACATCCCTATCGTTTGATTTCTTAAACAACAAGCTTTTGCTTGGGTTCCTCTTAAGAAACCTTAATATTATGTAAATCATCTTCGAATATTGTTTATTTGCATTATTCATATATTGACTCACAATGCTGACAAAATAAATGATAACAAGTTTAGTGTGAGATAGGTAGATAAGCATTCCCATCAATCTCTGATATGTATCTTTTTCCACTAGTGTATTTTCTCATTATAAATGTAATTTTTTTTATTGAAATCTATATGAGTATCAACAAGTTCACACCCAGCATTCCTGCCTCTTTTAATGTGTCAAGGATGTGCTTTCTTTGGGATATCACAATTCCCTTCTTTGACATGGCCACTTCCATACCCCAAAAAAATCTCATAGCTCCTAGATCCTATATTTCAAATTTGGTGGACAAAGCGTCCTTAATCTTCACAATCTCTTTTTATCACCACATGTCAAGATCATTTCATCTACATAGACAACGAGTATAACATTCTTAACTCTGTGTGCATGCTTAATGAACAATATATGATCAGCTTGACAAACTTATCAAATCAAGCATGTAGAGATTGTTTGAGGTCATAAAATAATTTTATTAGTTACAAACCAGATGTTTATTCAAGTCATTTTTTAGCACTTGTTAGATTTTCAAATACATAAATTTTCAAATACATTTTTTCATCAAAGTCTCTATTCAAAAAGATATTTTTGATATCAAGTTGATGCAATTCTCACTCTTTGCTCAATTCCAATGAAAGAAGAATTCATACAGTATTTGGCTTGGCCATGATCTCTTGATAGTTTATCTCATAAGACCGAGTGAAACCCTTGGCCACCAAACTAATCTTCAATCTCTTAATGCTCCAATCTTCTTTATACTTGACAGTGAACACACATTTGCACTCAACGGGTCTTTTGTATGGAAGAAGCTTTGTAAAGATCCAAGTGTCATTTAGATGAAATGTTTGAATCTCCTCTTCAACTGTCTATTTTCATCATGAACTTGGAAGTGCTTCATGAATATAATTGAGTACCTGCACACCATCAAAATTAAATACAAAAGCTTTATAAGGTGAGGATAACTTCTCATGAGTAATATACTGATGTATATGATAATTTGTGCAACTTTTCCTAGCTTCTCCACTGGAGTCCACCTCACTTGGAACTTCACAAATGTGTGGATTCAGTTTTGGTTGTGAAATTCGTGTGGTTGCATATTGTCTTTAGCCTGCTCAGTGGATTTTTTTCCCATTGTACACACGAAATTCCTTGTGCATTTCCTTGTTGTCAATCTTAGGTTGTATATCCTCAAGCAGTGGAGCTTGGGAGATAGGATGTTTAGAGGGAAGTAGAATATATTATGGTGATAAGTTTAGTGTAAATAGTAGAATAGTGTCCTAAATTTGATATTTACTTAAACACTCCCCTTGAATTTTAGATTTGGAATAGTATGATTGTTTTTCAAAAAATATAACATTCATGAATTTATATTATTTATTAATAATGAGAGAATGACACTTATACCCCTTTTTGTTAGAAGCATAACTAAAGAAGAAACATTTTATTCATTTTAGTTCAAGCTTTGTGCGGTTTGGTTGGTGATTGTGAACAAAAGAGACAAATCCAAATATTTTAAAGGGAACATTGGATGAAAAGGCTCTAACATGAGAATATGTTTCCATCAAAATATGAAGAGAGGCCTTAAATCTAAGGACCTTTTGAGCGTTCAGTTAATGGATAGATGGTTGTGAGCATTGCATCTCTCCAGAGAAATTTTGGGACATTATGAGAAAACATTATAGACCCAAATACCTCAAATAGATATTTATTCTTCCGCTTAGCTATTCCATTTTGTTGCAAATTCTCAACACAAAATCTCACATGATGATACCATTCTTTGCAAGGTAGGGTTTAAGGATCGAGTTAAAGTACTCCTTTGCATAATCAATTTTGATTTTTTCTTTGAAACAAAGCGAAAATCATGTCATAGAAGGATTGAAAGTTTTGTGTAGTTTTAGATTTCTCCTTAATGAGGAATATCCAACTGGATCTAGTGTGATCATCAATGAAGGAAACAAACAATCTAACTTCATTGATGATTTTTAATTTTAATTGTCCCCAAGTGTCATGTGGATGATAGGGAAAGGAAATGAGAATTTGTAACGAGACAAGATATACATGACAAGCAAGCTTAGCTAATTGACAAATTTCACACTATAAAATTATGGCTTTTTATTAATAAAGAGATGCAAGTACAACTTCACAACATAATGAAATTTGACATGACTTGGATGACAATGTCTTAGTAAAACTTGACTCTCAATAGACTCAAACACAACAGACTCAGGAACACGAGAATATCATGGTGAAAAAGAGAATAACTCTTCTAGAGCAGATATAGACTGTGATACAATTCAACACTGTCAATCAACTTACTCAAATTCATCAACTGAAATTCATAAGAGTTAGAATGAATAATTCAAGTCATGAATAAGCTTGCTAATTGAAAGTAAATTGCAATCTAGTTGGGAACAAATAACAAAAAAAAAGATAAATAACTTTGAAGATTTCCACTTCTCCTTTCCCAACAATCCTGGAGTGAGATCCGTCAGTAGCTTAACAAATTTTGAGGTGGTGATCCCTTGGTAGTTGATAAGAGCATGAATGTCTCAAGTCATGCGATCAGAAACACTTGAATTATTATCCAAGATCAAGATCTTCCATTGTTAGCAGTATAAGAGGAGAATATGATACCTTGATCTGCCATCAAGTTGGTAGGTTGCTTGCTTGACATAGGTTGTGATACTCATCCTGAACTACGATTAAAAATTTTATGCAGTGCCTCAGTTTGCACCCTATCAAATGGGTTGAATTTTGAATAATAGTTGGTTAAGATAGCAACATTTGCACGGTTTTCCCTATCATATTTTTCATTCGTTGGTTTCCCAATATGCAGTTTTGTCATGTGATTTCTAATATTTTTCTTTCACATGCCTGAGTTTCTTATAAAGGTCATATCATGGACATCTTTACATAGGCTTATTCTTTTGAGAGAAGTTTTGAGTGTATAAGACTGATCCTTCAACAAATGTATTGTAGTTATTTGTCATCAACTTCTCTCCACTCTCCTCCCTTTGAACTTCTGCAAAGGCCTCTCAGATGGTAGAGATGGGTTTGATTTCCATAATTCTCCCCCTATCTTCATCAAGATGTTTCCAAAGAGAATTTTGATGGTCCCTTTTTGTTTAGTAATCCTTTTGCACAAGGCAGAATTATCACACCATTTGCAAAGGTGAACCTCATATATGTCCGATTGCAGCCAACATCTATTGAGTGCATTTAATATTGAGTAACATTCAACTCTCTCTATCGTAGATCATGTAGTCTAGTTTCAATCTCAAATAATTTAGAAGTTTTAGTGCTAGAATAGGGTTCAGTAGGTATTAAGTAAAAGCACTGCATATTTGAAGGAAAAAAAGAGAGCTGAAAATATGAACGTGTACAAGACTCTGAAAACTTTCCAATGCTTTGATTGCATTTACCAAATGCATATATGGATAGTTAACAATAAGTAACTGTGATGGGGGTTTAATTTTCATATAATTTTGTCAAATGGTTATAACATTCTCTCAACGAAGAACAGCTTAATGGGGCAGCAATATAGTGGAGGTTAGAGTAGGTCAAGGGTGTGGGGGTAAATACCTCCCGTAACATAGAAATTACTGCATTGAAATTGGTTCCTTTAGCTAAAGCTCGTGTAGCAGCAGCCTGGATTCATAACACAAACAATTGTTAAATAGCTCGAACTTGTTTACGTCTAATGTTTGAAGAATATAGCCAACCAAACCTGAATAACCGGTCCATCTGCCAACGGATCAGAGTAGGGCATGCCTAACTCTATAATGTCTGAACCACACGAATCAAGAATTTTTAATGCTTTTGAAGTGGTACACAAGTCTGGATCTCCAGCAGTAATGAAGGGTATGAATGCAACCTAAATCATCAAAATCCTAAATATTAGATGCCCATATTGACAAAGCGAAACAAATTTTCAAATCAATTCATGATTCCAGACACAAGAAATAAAAAACAATAAAGAAATAATTTTAAGGGTAAAAAAAAGAAATTTAATATCATTATAGAAAACATGAAACAGAACAGAAGGACAGTTAATGAGTATTGGCTGATAGCATAGGGGGCAGAAACAATGCATGCACTTTAATGAGAATGCCAGCATCAATAACGGATGAAAAAAGGCAGATAATTGCATGTTAAAGGCCTAGGAGACCTTCCTTTAAAATGTTATATGAAACAAAGAAGCAACATCGGTTTCATTATTACTTGGAATGAAGCTCCAATTAGTTATCTATTTTTCTTACTTCATCCAGCAAACATTATCATCACCAAATATTAGCTTTATTCCAAATAAATTAAGGTCAGATTTATTAATCCTTAATCTCCATTTATTCCTTCAATAAGCTACTCAAATTTGTAAGGCCGAGTTATGTGCATGGTACAAAAGATTTTCATGGAAAATCACCTCCAGGAATCAAATCAAAAGTGGTTGCACTGAAACAATTTTTATGGCTAGGTTAAAGCCAAGATTTATATTTCTCAACGAACATGAAATCTTCTCATCAAAGACTTCAATAATAAAAACCAATATGCAATCAAAATCTTTATGAGAATTTAGCGAGACTTGAGGCCTGAGAGTGATAATTAAAAACTACCATGCATCCTTAGAGAAACTATGATAACTTCTTGGGTATAGAGGGCCTGGAACAAGCATTCATCGGCAAACAGCTCACAAAGCAACTGAGTTATATCAGATTTAATAACCAAGGTTAAAAGAAAATATTGCTACTCAAGCAATTCTGAACCAAACAACCCCTTAATACAGATTAAAATATCCTCCAATTCCATTGAAAACGGAAGAACTAAATACAACCAAATCGGAAAAATGGCACAAAAAAACAACAGATACTGATGATTAATAAACATAAAATTCTCGCTATCTCCGCCAACCATCATTACTTTTTCCAGAAACAATTACGTAACATATAAAATGAATTACATAAATATGAAATGATATAATGGAACAGCGGCAATCAACCAAATGCACAGGAAATACAAGAATAGGAATCCCACGGTTGATTATTCACATCTAAAAACCGTAGAGTGAAATGCTAGAGCTTACTTTGCCTTGTTCCCTTAGACGAACGAAAGTCTCCGAGATTCCAAGAGACGGAGTGATGTTAAGAGAAGCCATGGCCGGGAGAGAATTGGGTCCTGAAATGGGTTTATAAGAGAATGGGGTGGCGAGGGAAAGACTATTAGGTTTTCGGGGAAGAAAACTAGGGTCTCGAGAAGGGAGAAGAGAGTAAGCGAAATTTGGTGAGAGGGCCATCCGTGCCCAAGCTGCAGGAGAAGAAGGAATCAAAACTCTAAACCCTACGGAGAATTTAGCCGAGGAAGTAGAGGAAGCCGTTTGTTTTTACTCCTGAAAGCGAACCTTGTTTTAAATATGAGATTTATTAGATATTATATAATATTTTTTTTAAAAGAATGTCAAAGTAATATATGAGAATAATTTAAGAAAATAAAAATGATAAAATATTATTATTATTTTTTTAATGATATGATGAATTGAGATGATTAATATTTACTACATATTTAAAAAAATATTAAGTTAATTAAAAATTAGAGCAATAATTAAATATAATTAGTTTTTTAGGATTAATTTAAATATTTTAAATATATTAAAAATAAATTTTATTTTTGATATTTATGTTAATTTAATATAAAATATATAAATTGATCGACCAAGATAATATATATCGAAGAGCTGTATTTTGAGTTAAAAAAAAAGGGTGAATCCCATATTTTACAAAAATTCAAAATATGTTTAAAATTTATTCAATTTATGTTCGAACTAAAAATAATTTTGAATCCTCATTTGGAGATAAATTCAAATACAATTTTATTCGATTATCAAATACATGATATAAGAAATACATCTACAACAAAAATGCTACACTAATATCTATAACATATCTAAAAAATACTAGTTCAAAAACATTGCAATCAAAAGCTAATTGTGAATGAAATAAGCTTTTAAAAGGATTTAAGTGAGATTTAAAGATAATTGGTTGTAGTTCATTTAATGTTTGATCGTCACTTATTAATAGTTTAATCACTTTATTTAATATTTACATTATTCATTTAGTATTCGATTGTCATGCATTTAGTGCTTGATCATCATTCATTCAATTTGATCATAGTTCATTTAGTATTTGATAATGATTTTTTTTGTGTGTTTAATCATCATTTGAAGATTATTAGATCATGATTCGATTGTGAATTATATACATAATTATTATATTAAATTAAAGTAACTCTAAAATAAGTATAATGACAAGAGCTATAACACCACAGATAAAATATTTGATTCAAGTGAACAATCATAATTTCTTTAGGACAATATGGCTAAATTGCATATCTTATGTCTCAATTGAGTGTTGTGGTACTTACAATAATGATATTAGCCTCATCCTTAAGTAAGGTCACATTTTTATAATCATAGAGTGATCAAATATATGGCTAATGAGCATGCTTGAAACACAATAAAATGTGTGCTTGAAGATCACCAAGATTGAAATTACCCTCAAGATTCATCAAGCTATAAAATGTGTACTTCTATATTTATTGTGAGTTCAAGACACCAAGCTTATAATTGAAGCATTTATTAAAATTATTGAGAAAAAAAGGATAAAGAATAGTCGAATTAAAAAGCCTACCATTTTATTGATCTTCAACAATAAATTTAAAGATTGATTAGTATAAAATTTGACAATTATGATGGTGGTTGGATAACAATCGGTTATGGCAATGGACTGACAATCACAGTCGTGCAACAATAGTCTAACAAAGGTAGATTGGTGGAGGTCAAAAGTTTAAGTCTTGGAGCTCTATTGAGTTTCCCATTCTAATATAAGTTTTCCTTAAATCACCTATAATATAGAGAGTGATAATTTATTTATTGATTTTAGAAGTAACATATTTAATAAATATCACCCGAATTCATAATACTCCATCAAGCATGCTCATCAGTAATTCCGTTGACTATATGATATTTTTTTTAGTATTTATGTATCTTAATAATGTCAATAATGTCAGAAGTAAGACACATTGAGTTTGTCAGATTCATCTAATTCGTAAGCTTAATTTAGCAATAAGCTTGCAAAATTTAAGGATCGTTTATTGCTCTAATTAATATCCCAAAATTTTTATATCATTCTTTGAGTGTTTAACCTACGATCACTCATACTCAAATAAAATAACATTTAATGTTATTTGATTTTTCTTTTCGAAACACTTAGTTTTAACATGAAATTAACCAAAACTAAAATTTGTATAGTCTTTAATTTGATTTTAAAAACATTCAATTTAAGAGGCCTTTCAAGTGGGTCAATTCAAAAGGCCATTCAAATGGTTGGCTTTTTTTTTTTTTTTTTTGGGCGAGTTATCAAATATAATTCCAATTTTAACACTTCATAAAGAGGACATCAAGCCAATCTTGGTTTTCTCTCCCACAATTCAAACAATTCCTTGTTAAATTTAACATTCTTGTGATGCATCAACTATTTCTCTTTTTAATTCTTTTATTAACCTCTTCATCAAAGCTCAATATTGCTTCATAACTTCATGGCAATTAGATTTTATAAGCATCAATTTATGTAGCCACCAACCCAATGTAAAATCACCCAAAATACTCTTGAATTTTCAAACAATAATCTTAATACCTATCTTAATAAATGATTTCAAGCATGAATATGGAGTCAATACATGACAAATTACATTTCATTTTTAAGTTTTTGCACAATGCCTGCAAAATCCATATATTTTCAGCAATATACATTTGCCTAATAAGCTATGAATAGAAGAAGCTTAATATTGAAACAATGGTGAGCCGACAATATTTTGGATTTGGTTGAATGAAATGAGTATTTGTCACATCAGAATTTGATATGCAATAAAGGAGTAGAATTAACATCCTCTATCTATTTTTGGTCAAGTTAAATTTCAAAATAATTACATTTATTTTGACATGAATAAAATAAAATTATCCATATGAGACACTGATCTCAAGGTAAAGAAAGTGAACTTTGGAGGCCATTTTACCAAACTTTGATCCCAAATGGCTATTGTAACTTGTAAAAGGACTAACTATGAGATGAATACAATATTATTTATTTGTTGTTGGCCACTCTAAATGAGCGATGATTCAGTGCACTAAAAGTTAGCATGAGCTTTTGAAGAGTAGCCAAGAATGTTATGTATTATTGGCGGGAAAATTGTTTGACGACATAAACTGCCATCTTGTAAAGGAAGATTTGGTTTGGTCGGTGAGAATCGCGGAAGCCTTGAGATTGAGAGACATACATTGTTTAATCGATAGTTCCATGTAAGAATACATTAGAGGCATCTAGTTAAGTGATTGATCATTTTTTCTTGGGGGTGATGGTTAACAATGTGTACATACTCGACTGTCGACAAGATTAATGTCTCTTCGTAGTTTATCCCTTATTGCTTTCATCTAGTCAAACTCTACATCTAGCCATGGTGTTGTTTTAACTGAATTAGGTTATGTATATTCATTTGCACCTAAGACTATGTTGTTCTGAGGATGGAGGAATTAGGATCCAAGTTCCTAATGATAGTAAAGCTTGAAATTCTCCACACAAGGCACAACTTCAATTAAAGCATTTGATAATGGTAGAGTGGCATATTGGGTCCAATCGGGTTGTTATGGTGCGCTGGAGATCAAAAAGTAGCTTTGGTTTAAGGTTTTGGGTTTTAGCCTAACAAGAATTTGATGAGTTCGTAGACGGGTTGATTCGGTCTCTTGGTAAGTAGGGATGGGGAGGATGAGTTGGCTTTGATGGTGTTGTTGCTAAGATTTGAAGTGGATGTATTGATTTCTTGTGGATTTGTGCTGAGAGTTGGTGTGTAGGCGAATGCAACTCAAATTGGTGAAGTATTTGCTCTATTGTGCTGTTGGTTTAAGACAAGGAGATGTGGGGTAGTTTAATTAAGAGAGAGATATTATGGGATAACTGATTTCATAAATCAGATCTATCAAGAGAAATAACAGGAGAGTTGTGGTAGCTTGGAGTTTACAGATAGCTTAATTTGCCAAATCAGTTTCCTTATAGATAACCAAGGGTAGATGTAATCCAGACTGATTGATAGTAGCCAACTGCAATGATAACGTTGGCTTTGGATTTAATTGTGAGAAGCATTGGTTCATTGATTCGTCCTTTGTGGATAGATTGTGGGGCTCATTTATTACATCTAATATACATATATCAATAACGACAGTGTGATTTGAAAGAATGAATTATAAAACAAGTAATAGCAAACCCCCATTTCATTAAAATTTATAATTCTGCCTATCATGGGAATATCAAACTCACATGGTACAAAGATTACAATGCAGGCAGACTGTCAAGTACCCTGTAAACCAGTAGAATGTCGTAAAATAACTTCTGAAATAGAGGAAGGCGAAACTTAACAGCCTGAACAAGGTTAACGAGGAATCTCGTTCTCTATCTTCCTCTCTTATGATTGGCAGCTAAATAAAAGGGAAGAACAATCAGCAAGCATCCAGATCTCTGCATGGTGGAGGTTTTGGTTCACCAAGCAAGGTGATATTGCCACCTTCAGGTCCACCTCTGATGCGATTTGGGTTTTGTGTACCAACCTGCCAGAGAATAGAAAAAATTAGGACCATGAGAGTAAATAGGTTGGATTCTAGCGAGGGAAGATCCTAGCAGTTTTATATTTTTTGACTATAGGAGGCTATTATTGTGTGATTCAAATCACGACCTTGAGGCGACTTAACCATTGCTTCAGGCCCTCACTATCAAAAACGATAAATCAGAACAATAAAAGCGAGAGAAATAGAAAATTGGTCTGCTTACTGGAGGTGTTTCTCCTCTCCTCAGCATCTCCACAATCTCTACAACTCGCTTGGGAGTGAGGTCTTCCTGTGGAAAACATATCATTAAGATAATTTTAACAGTAGATGCTGCCAGTAAATATAAAAAGGTAAAAGCTATCATTTGTCCGGCCTGAGATTCCAAGAATATCAGGGAATCACATTCCTAAAAGTAAAAATGAAAATGAAGATTTCAGCCAGGTCCTCTCTCTTAATAGTTTCTGTAGTGTGTGAGAGGATGAATTCCTAAATAGAAAACAACGGTCATGACCACCTGACACCTGACATAAGAGTTAAAAGGTTGCAATTTTGTTTTCTGTCAGTTTGGATGGCCAAGTTGCTCGATAAGAAGTTTGGATCTGATGCCTCTTTTAAAATAATTTTCTTTTGAAGAAAGTGTCAATATAGTCCGCTTAGTCCCAGAGTTTTAAAAACTGTCAATCTAGTCCTCAAACTCTAGCCTCCATGAATGACTATTTTTGCCTTAATTTAAAAATTTTGAGGACTAATTTGACATTTTATGGGACTAAAATTGTCCCAGGTAAATTTTGACAATTTATTCATTTCTTTCTTCCATCTTAATCTCCCGCTAGTCATACTGGATCTATCTCTGTTAATTTTGATCAAATGTTTCCATTGCCAAGCAACAACAAAAGAATAATATACCTGGAGAGCCCACTCGAGCACTGGTTTTTATTGACTAAATTGGTCAACATAAATACATATCACCATCCTTTCTCATTTGTTTTTAATTATTCAAATAAATTAAGTCTGAGATTATAACAGGTTCCAAATGATTTCTAGGTCCAAAAGGCATTCTAAGATAACTACAACTCAGTAGTAGTCTCTGCTCATATATTTACATGATTATTTGGAGTAAAATTGCTAGCCCTTTCATGCCAAAATCAATACAACAGCAACAACAAAGCTTTATCCCACTAAGTTGGGTCGGCTACATGAATCCTTTTTCTCCATTGCATCCTATTGAGTGCCATATTTTCATTGAATTATAATAAATTAAGATCATTTTTATACAATATGCCCAAGTCTTTCTAGATCTATCTTTGGCTTTCTTAACATAAGTCGAATCTAAAATATCTACTCTCCTAATCGGATCATCTGATGGTCGACGTTTAATGTAACGAAACCATCTAAGACGCCTCTCTCTAATTTTGTCTGTCACTGGAGCTATACCAACCCTATCACGGATATATTCATTTTGCATTGTCTCAAAGTGAAAAGGCACTCATCCACCTAATCATTCTCATCTCGGCAACACTTAACTTAATTTTATGCTTCTCTTTTAAAGGCCAACATTCAGCGCCACAGAGCACTGCAGGTCTCACCATCATCTTATAAAATTTTCCTTTCAGTGTAAGTGGCACTTTTCTATCACCATGCCAAAATCAATGAATAATAAAAAAAAAAAGTAATCATGTCATGGAAATTATCTGGTTGAACCAATTGAGGTGGCAAAGTTACTCTTGAAATTCAAGTCCTTAACTCTAAGAAACAAGTCTAGAAACCCTAGTAAACTACCCATAAGCTCATAAGCTTAGCTTTCCCCTTTCAAGTTTATTACATTTATATAAACTATGTTAACACTTTTCAAATGTGAGATCAAGCTTGATTTCAGTAATTTTTTTTTTTGAAAGGATAGAAACATAACTTACTTTATTAATAGAAAGTAGAATACGTGTCCAATTGTAGATGTATAGGCATAAAATCACTCTTATAGATAAAGAGCGTATAAGACACTTATGTTAAATTTACCAGAGTGCTAGTGAATATTATGTTTAAGAAAGATCGCGACTGGACTCAAATTTATTAAATTGTAATCTAAACTAATAAAACAACTTACTCAGTACCTTCAGCAGAACCCTATACCTGCATCAAATTCTAAGCCCAACAAATACTACAGCAGGGATATTTATAATGTGCATAACTTTGTGAGACGAAAAGGTAAAATAAATCATAAGGAATCCAAGATTAGAAATAACCAGCCATAGTGTTATAATAGTTAGGGTCAATGTCAGCTATTTCTTTCAGGTTAAACACTGGAATAATTCCCTGCTATTAGTATCATCCATCTAATTAGCACAAAAAAGTATGAAATATACATTCGCAAATAATAAAAAAGTTTTTGGTCTCGCTATTCAAACAATACCATCAACTCCTCTGATGTTAAAAATAAAAGGAAATCAGTGACATCACTAGTTGCCCGTAGCTAAAAGTAAAATGCCTATCTAACTAATAATAAAGAATAAAACAAACAAACAAAAAAAAAGCGGGGAACCACAAGATGACTCCAAAACCTTGGACTAATGGAAAAAGCACAACCAAGGCTTTCTACGATCAAAGGTTCAATCCATCCATTCATATTTCAATCTTTTTGGATCTATTAATGCGGTGAATCAACACCATCCATGACTCAACTGTAAATCATGGTTGAATGCAAGCCCATATCATAATTGGACATCATAGATTATTAGAGACACGATATTTATTATCATTTACTCTTTAATAGTTTTCAATCATTCACCTCATTGGATATATTTCTGAGGAAAAATTGTCCAACTTTTTCATACCACCATCCACGACAACAATTTCCTCCTCCGCTCAAGATTTTGAGCTTATTTCACTTTCTTGCTCCTTTTTCGCTCATTTTTTCACCATCCCCTTCATTTATTTTGTACAAGCAAGAAAAGATTGCTTCAGTAGTACCTTGAATCAAAATCCATAAAAGAGCAAGTGTCGATCAATCTAAAATCAATAAAGAGGAACCACAGGGAAGAATCGATTTAAATGCATGGGGATTGAGAAAAAAATTGACTTAAAATTCAAGTCAAACTACCCAAGTATGGAAACTAGATAGTATTATATAGCATAAATAATGCTAGGATAAAATAAATATTCCTAGAAGGACCCTCTAAGGCATGAATTTAATGTCTAACCCAACCTCAAATCAAAAAAAGAATGGTAAAGGTTGCAACAGGTAGAAAAATTTCATGCAACACTTGGGAGCCATCGAATACGCCTTACATTATGATGCATAGTAATAATAGAAAAAAGAAATTAACCTATATGATCTAAAAAATAAATAAAAGCTTGCTCTACGGCTTCGTATATGTTAAAAAATATGTGAACTTTATTATGCATTAGTTTGAATAACCATTAAAATCATGGTGTCAAAGGAAGAAAAAGAAATAAGAGTGGAACACAACAGTGAGATGAGTACTCGGCTCAACTATTATAACAAAAACTTGGATGGATGGAGGTGTAAGAAAAATGTATATCAGAAGTTCAAGCTGCTCCCAGAGCCTTAACTACATTTCATCCATGCTACCCATCGCCTAAGGCTTAAAAATGGGCAAATGTAAATGCATGAATCAACCTTTCATCATTGACTACAATAGATACGGATTGCTATCATGAGCTATTAGTAGTCCTTTGTCACATTTAACCTCCTTGGAAACCCAAGTACATCGCACAACAACTTGAACCCAAAACCGGCTCCAATATATATGAGATTGGATCACTTAGTGTAAATAACTACACCAAAAAATTGAACTAATAGATAAGGTCCAATCACCACGTTTTATAATCAAAGATCCATTCACTCCAAGAGCCATGGAAATTGTTATCATTTAATATCTATCAATACTCTTTTATTTTTCTAATTTTTGTAACTAAATGAGTCGATAAGAATTCAAATTAAAAACTTAATTTGATATCATTTACCAAATACCAAAGAACTATCAAGAAAAGAGAACAAAGATCATATAGTGGTCCGCAGTGAAAAAAACAAACAAACTATATTCAAGCCAGCACGTGGTTGCTTCTGCCGGTTAACAGACAAGCGGAAAGCATAAAAAACATTTGATGCGGGGCAGCCAAGAGCTCTATCTTCCTACCCTCTTGCCATCTGGCAGCATGAAGCTGATTCAGTTTTCAGTTTACAGCTCTTGAAGCATGATGACCAAAACGCTATCTTCCTACCAAAACCAAGTCTTTCCTGCCCAAACTGCAGCCAACATCATAAAAAAGCTGGGCAATGATCAAAGCCTGAAATGGTTGGATAAAAGGTGTATCAATGAGCCCAACCAACTACCTAACCCGCTGAGGGCATCCCCGAAGAGCAGAAATACATTTCACAGACTGAAAGAGAAGAACACCTAAGCGGGATAAAAAATACAATACTCTGGCAAGAAAAGTTACAGAAAAACAGACTCTACTGCATAATCAAATCAAAGGTGTCCAAAATAGAAGTTTACAACCCATTTAAATGTTCAAAAGTAAAAGAAACCTTAATTAATAACCTAAATAGTAAAAAAAGACCCCAAAAGAGGCTGGCCAGCCCATGGGGGTTGGAATTGCTAAGCCAATCCCGCCAGTCCCTCCTGGGACCAGTTCAGTCTTGCCTCAGCATAAGAGGGCGGATGCAGGACGCCCCGCATCGAGGTAACATCAAAGTTCATTCTCAGTTAATTGTACGGGTGGAAACATCACATAATACATGATAATGGCCATATAAATAACTGAGTGCCTTATAAAGCAACGATGGATAAATAACAAAAGACAGATGCTTCAAATAGTCTAGATGGATGGGGATGAACTAACGTAATAATTATATGTGTATCCTTCAGATCCTTTGGAGTAGTCAGCCACAGCAATCATCGGCGCGTTTACACAGCAACCCTGTTCAGTGTAGAACTACAGTCAGACCCGAAAACAGCCATATCAAAGAGACAAAATATAATATAGTTAAAACTGAATTATATCAAACCACACATGTCTAGATAGACATGTAAAAAATCATTTTTTTTTTTTTTTTTTTTTCACAAGAAACATTATTGGATGCAAATGTATTAAATATATATTTATTTGAAAATGAGGTGAGGACACAAAATGTTTCAAATAAAATAAAACGATGATATGTAAGTAGACATCATAAACATTATTCTTCAATTATATCAAATCTAGTATTGTGTTGCTGCACAAAGACGTAAAAAATAGGTACAATAGTAGACAAATATGCAGCCTGAGTAATATGAAGAAAAGTAAAATGATTAAGAAGATGATGCCTTTACATATATACCACCCAATTCTAATGCATTTACATATCTAACACCTAAACTTTACTTTTTAAATTTATACCACCCAAATCATTCATATCACATCAAAAATAACACTTCTCCATCAAACCAAATAATGTTAACTTTTACAAAGTGAAATACATGTTTTCATACATAGGTAAGATGGTATATACGTAAAAATTGAAGTTTTAAGTGTTAGATAAGTAAATATATAAGAATTGAGTGGTATGTATGTAAACATTCCTAAAAAGATTGAAGGCGCTCACCATGCATTCCATTTCTCCAACAGAAAACAAGCCATCCTTAGTAACCTCTGTAGAAATGTAAAAAACTCTAAATGTCACCAAAATCAAGTGTGCTTGCAGAGCAGTAAAGTTACATATTCTTGACTTTATTTATTTTTAATGATTATTTACATATTCTAGCCTCATGTACTCACCATTACGCTTCACTCCAAGGTGTTTTAGCAAAGTTTCTTCTATGTCACGTGATCCACGTATCATGCATGGTGTTGTGCCACAAACCAAAAGATGATATTTACCAACCTGTAAAGCATTAAAAGAAAATAGCAATTTAATTGATTAAAATCCCAAAATGGCCTATCAACTATTTGGTTGCGGTCAATTTGTCTCAAAATATTGCAGTGCTCCAATTTAGTCCCCCGACTAATGAAAATTTATCGAAAATGATTCAGTGTAGAAAGCACGACACAAAAATTATCTCAATTTAGTTTCTTGACTATAGATCTCAATTCAGCTTTGAGGGACCAATTGGGATCAATTTTTAATAGTTGGGGACTAAATTGCAATATTGCAAAACTCTGGGACTAAATTAGCCACATCCGAATAGCCGAGGGACCATTTTCGAATTTAAACTCAATCTAATTAAATAGAAGAATATCAAATTTATTCTAAATGTCATTTTCATCAAAATAAAATAAGACAATACAAAAGAAAAATATCAATTCAAAAATAGAAACAAAATACCTTCATCCGGTTGAACATTGAATAAAATGTAGCAACTTCATAAACACGAATTGGAGCAACTTCAACTATCCTTGCAATCTGAGCATAGAAAGAAACTATGAAGAGATCTAAATATTAAATTTCTATGGATCATCAATAGCAACAGCATCAACACGTGTATTACACCCTCAACTACATTATATTAATTCAATCAAAATGAATGAATAGCCCTTTAAAGTATTTATAATAATCAGTTATATTTAAATTGCTAAAAGTACACTTGAACAACTGTTAAGAAAAAAATGTCAACAGGTAGATTAATCACTAAAAATTAACATTATTGCAAATCAGGACAACTAGATGCATTTGATAATATTGAGAAAACAAAAACTCACGAGTAATGAGTAAGATAGACTCACAATGCATCAGGCTCTTAATAATTGTAAAAACATAATAACTGAATTAGCTTAATTCAAGGAACTACTAAACAGGTAAAGTGCGGGAAAATGTTAAAATTAATGATGAATGTATCGTAAAAATTGAAAAAAAAAATTTAAGAATATTATAGAGAAAGTGATAGTAATATCTATTTAGTATAGGTGATAGACTGAGCTGATTAGGGATGCATAAAAAATAGTAGGAGGAATAGTTACATGTAGAGAGATTTAAATGAGTAAAGTGGAAAAAAAAAGTTAGTCACAGCTAACATTGTTTAAAGTCAGAAAAAATATAAAATGTAAAAAAACTAGAAAGTAATATCAAAAGCATCTTTATATGATGAATTAGTGAAGTAAGAACTTACGATGATGATTATGCTAGATTTAACAACTCAGGTGAACTCTATCAGCTACATTTTTTCTTTTGGGCATTTACACAATACCATCCAATTCCTATGCATTTACATATCTAAACTTTGTCTTTTAAATTACAGCCACCCAAATTTTCATATTGTATAAAAAATGCCATAATTTTAACTTTAAAAAAGTGAAATACACCTTTTCATGCATAGCAAAGGTGGCGTGTATGTAAAAATTTAAGGTGGGGTATTAGATATGTAAATATGAAAGAATTGTGTGATATGTATCTGTCTTCCTTTTTTTTGTTTCTATCAGCTACATCTTAATATACCTCATTCATTGCAGAAACAGGAATCCATCCACCATGCTGCTGCTGCGCAAGATCCAATAAAGGAATGACAGCAGATTGCTTGTAGTTTGAAGGATAGTGAGAAAGTATATCTTTGACCTGGAGTACTCAAATGTAGAAGATACGTCAATAGCCACTTAATCAAAATATGGATACAACAGCTCTACATATAAGCTTAACAAAACTAAATAATTCTGGATAATCAGAAGCTAATAAAGCACAAGCAGGATAATTAGAAGCTTAGAAACTCACGAACATATAGGCAGAACATTTAAAGAGTGCATTATTTACAAAAAAAACTACAATAAAAAAAACAGATGGCAACACTGCAAAAGACGCTCGACTTCTAAACAAACACTAATATATATTACCAGCATGCAAATTAAAGGTTTTAAAAATGCTGGATGCTCACCAACAAACAAACTTGATAAACGTCATTTGTTGAGTAAACAAATTGAGCTTGAATAAATTTCTAGCTCATTTACAAAACAAGCCAAAAATTAACAAAATTCAATTTAGTCACATATTGTACATAAAAAAATTATCAAATCATAAACACCAGTTAAGATCTATGCCTGCTTAAATAGGATGTACTATGAAAATCATAATTTTTCTACCAGCGATCGAAACATGCAAAAAATTATTGATGCATTTGGTGGCTCATATTTGACACCAATAAACAAATCAAACATGAATAAATTTTTTCTGCTTGTTAATAAAATTGAGATCCTTCATATTCTATCTGATAGCCAAAGAATGAAACCGGACCAAACTAATTCAAGATGCAAATTAAAAGAGACCAATAATTCAGGATGCGAATTAAACGAGATTAGGAAAGATGTCATTCTGAACAACTATAACTTGACCATCAAAAGGTTTATAATTATTTTTCTACCTTGGTCGGAATGTCAAATCTTAGGAAATTTTAAAATAATATGATAATTTGAAGGGGTTTTTACATACGTACCCCAATTCCTAGGTATTAACATATCAACAGCCTAAACTTTAAGTTTTAAGTTCAGACCACCCAATTCCTATATTTTTGGTATAGGTCGGGTGCTCTGCTGGTAAAAATTGAAGTTTTGATGGATGATATGTTAATGCATAGGAATTGGGTGGTAAGTACGTAAAACTCCCTAATTTAAATGATGTTTTGAACATTAGAAAATATATGATTACCAAAGAGTTGATGTGGATGGCACAATTATGTCTTTTAAGGTTTCTAAAAGAGAGAGGAGGTATAAAAAGGGAAGAGAATAGAAGGATGGTTGGTGGTTGAAAGAGAGGTTGGACTCGATTAGGTAGCAAAAGGGAAAGAAATGTGTTCAAAGTGGGAGAGGAAAGAACGAAGAATCAAGTATGAGATTCATCAAGTGGGAGAGAGAAGATTAGAAAAAGATAGGCGGACCTATGGAGAGAAGGTTGGATCTCAAGTATAAGTATGGAATGTTTGATGAGATTTGTGTGTGTCTGAGTGTATAGAGAGAGAGATTCATCAACGTGTCTGGTGGTGGTATGCAACAATAAAATGACGATATAAGATGAAATAAAAATCAAATAAAAAATAGACTTTACTAATAGTCATTTATCGATCAGAATAAGCGGTTAAGAAATTAATGTTTTGTGTCACGAAGTGTAAAAAAGAGCAAATCACCACTATGAAGGAATTTATTTGCAGCTGTCAGAATATATTCCACTAATGTTGTTTTCTTTTATTTATATTCTTATTTTCTATTATTCCCTATTTAGAGGGATTCACATTTTGTTTCCTTTTATTACTATTATTACTATTATTATTATTATTATTATTATTAGTAGTGAATTGTAATGCTTTAGAAGACAAAAAATAAAAATCTTTCACAAAATTTTCACATGGTATCAAAGTTCTGAGAAACTTATTTCGATCAGGATTCCACAGGCATGTTCCACCTTTGCTTCGTCTTTGAGGTTGAAGAGTGTCGAACGAAACTTCGTTGTCACCGTAGATGGCAAAGGATCCACAGAAATCCCTGTTGATGGCATTCGATGCTCATCCACAGCCTTGTTCCACCTCTCCTTCATCACTGTCTTTCGAACATCTCCTCTGACGTTATTGTTCAAACCATCTGCTTTGACAGTCACGTAAGCTCGATTGCTATTGTTCGAACATCTCCTCTGACGCTCACGTGTGCTCGATCACTGCTACTTCTCTAACTCCTCGTCCGACTCTTCCAACTGAGGTCCCTGCTTTGTCTTCTCACAGACGAGATTGCGGTGATGTTTTCGTTCACCTAACTCTTCCAATCTAATTGATAACCTCATTTTATCTAAGAAAGAGTTCGTTCGAACAGTTCAAGTAGATTGGATCACAAAATTGTTCTTCCTCTTCAGTTTGCTAAAGCAAAGAAAGATATCACTCCTGCTATCAATTTGACTTGCAGAACTTGTGAAAACAAAGAGCTGCAAACCACCTTCTAATTCTTGTTCATTCATCCAACCAAGCAGACAAACTAAGTGTCCTTTCACTTTCTTCCGAGCAATAGGTTTACTGGATTTGAGCCTTAGAATCATGGTCAACCACGGCATGGCTTTGCAATATTCTTCATTGGAAGTCGCCTCCAGATCCAAGCCTACATTTTTAGTACCCAATGTACCTGACAACTCATCCCATCTAGTCACTAATCATAAAATGCATTCTGCATGAGCAACATTTTCTTTAATGGTCTGAGTCCGTCTTCATGTATGTTTGTGGTAGAGAAAAATATGGACATTTCACTAGCAAAATTTTTGCTCCATAAATGACAAATTCTAAATATTAGGACTGAAAAACTGACGACCACTTAATTATGTTATAGTTAATAAATTTCATGACCACGGAGTTTGAAAAAAAAATTCTACTCTATAGGGCAACCAAAGGAATATAGAAGCTTGCATGTGAAACTTATTCTAGCATTGAAAACTCCTTCGAGTTATTTGAGGTTGAGACCATACTACATGATCTACAATAAGGGGAATTGAGTGTTACTCAATATTACAACAAGGGGAATTGAGTATTACTCAATATTATAACACTCACACATTGTTTGTTGCAACTGGACATGTGCGAGGTTTATTACAAGAAATGTCTCGATGACTTTGTCTTGTATAGGAATATTATTGAATAAAAGAGGACCATCAAATTTCTTTTTGACCTCAATAAAGATTTAGATAAAACAAGGGGAGAATCATGGGAATTAAACCTCTTCATACCATCTGGGAGGCTTTCGCAGAAGTTTGAAGGGAGGAAAACTTAAAGAAGTTAAACGATAACAAACAATCACACTAAATCTGTTGAAGAGCCAGCCTTCTAAACTCACAACTCTTCTCAGAATAATAAGCCCAAGAAAGAACGATTGTGGTGCGATCATTATATGAAAGATGGTCATGCAAAAGAAACATGTTGAAAACTATATGAAAAACCTATAAATTGGAAGACATGATAGGGAGAATAGCTCAAATACTACTACCACAACCAACAACAATGCATAATTCAATCCATTCACTAAAGAGAAAATTGAAGTGCTATAGAAAATGTTGGATCATGGTCACACTTTCGGACAAGTATCACAATCATCTACCGAACAATCGACCAATAATGTTAACACACATGAAAATCAAATATTTAATATCACATCAAAAATAGCACTATTACCACTTTTTAAAATTGAAATATACCTTTTGAAATATACCTTTTCATGCTTTCATGCATAGGTTTAAAGCACCAAAATGCTATGTATGTAATATAAATGTTTAGGTGTGATATGTAAATAAATGAAAACTGTGTGCTACGTATGTAAATTTCCCAATATCTACATGGACTGTTATAGTGCCCCATCATCGAATGATCTCTAAGCTAGCTGTTTTTTGCGGGCTACGTAAGTTGATGGGTTTGTGTTTCCTTATGAAAAACAGCATTTTTAACATGATTAAAATAATGACAAAATAAAAAACAGTTTACTGAAAATTACCATTAGCTTTGGAAAAGCATGACCAAAAAGTAAGCCGTAGGCAGCACCTAAGGTTATCTGAACTAAGCATTCATAAAAAGCATCTTAATCAACAAAGGAAAGCGAAATATGAATTTTTAGATAATTAAAACGGTGAAAAAGCGGTAACGAACAATAAGCTTATTCACAGGCAACTTCCATTAACAATAGAATATAAATAAATTTAAAAAAAAACCTTCCACAAGCAATCAATAGCTTCGTTTTACCAATATGATTCCTTCCCAGGATGATGAAAATTTCATTTCAGAAACATGAACTCTTTAGCCAATGCGGTGACTGAAGGAAATCACATTAGGAGCCCAAACCAACAATTTCGCGACCCCATTTCATCAAGCAAAAAAATATCACAGTGGTCTATAATTCCTTATATTTCTCAAACATAAATATTCACCGAAGAACTGAACATAAAATAACAAAATGACAATTAATTTTTAAAATCATACCCTATCCAGATTGGATGCGCTGAACTCCCATAGTGCATTAGGGTTGTTATCGGGGGAGTCAATATGCTGTTCGAGGAGTTCAGGGAAACAAAAATCAAGAGAACCGATAGCGAAAAGAAAGTGCAGATGGGAGTACAAAGTCAAAATCATGGGTCTCACTGACATAATTTAGAGCAGTAGAGTAGGATCTGGAGGTTCCAGCAGCTGCGGCGGCGGAGACCTGAAAAGAAGAGAAGCATGTGATTAAATAATGATCAGGAAAACTTTCAACTGGTAGGGAAGAAGCAATCGCACTGCAGGAGATTGAAGGAAAACTTGACGAAAGCCAAGAAGGCGTTTCGTCGCGAGGCGAGCCGCCGGCGGAAACATAGTCGGGTGGAGGTCGGGTGGAGATGAAGAGAGGATCGGTGGAGTCTCAGGAAGAACTGAAACTAATGGGCTGATTGGTTACGAGTCTAATGACAGGGTGAGTAGATAGATTTGTAAATTACATAAAAATTGTGTGGTATTTGTGTAAATTTTTCTTGCTATAAATTTATGCACTTACCACAGAATTTTTATGTATTTAAAGTTTGATACATACACTAAAGATATTTTGATGTTATTAATTTATGCTTTTCTGTTTTAAAAATTAGTATTGGTGTATATATTTTTTTATGTAATATTGAAATTTTGGATGTTATGCATATAAATATGGGAATTTTAAATTAGTCGCAGGAGTCGTAGTGGTAAAATAATGCATTAGTGTTTTACGAAGTTTCTAAACACACGTACTTACAAAAATTTATGAAAAAACACAACAAAAGTTTTTACGTGAAAATCCTAAAGAGCCAATAAATCACCGGAGATGGCATTTTTTAAATAATTTTATTACGTCAATGTAGTTCACAATACTTTAATGACCCTTAAATAGTCGAAAACAATATTACACGAATGAGATTTGTCTTTCACCGGGGAAGTGATGGAAAATGCTAAGGAAATGACGATGACCCGACTGGTGTGAAAAAAAAAAGCTAGCGGCAGAGGTCAAGTGTCAAAAAATCTGATGCCAATGTTGGCGATAGTGGCAAAGACAGTAATGTTCGGGCAACAGAGATCCGGTGGTGGTGACGATGGTAATTTGACTGCAACAGCATTGGTCCAGTGTCAACAACAGTTGAGGTCGGGCAATAGTGATTCGACGGTGGCTGCAGTCAGATTGTGGTGATCCTATGGCAACGATGATGGTTCGAAGGTGGGTTCAACTAATCAGCGACACTTCAATGGTGGTGGAGCATAGGAACTCTCAAGAACTTAGTGTTCCTTCAACTTTCTCTTTCAAGTCCATCATAAAGAAAGTGTAGTTTTATTTATAGATTTTGAGAGTGTCATCCTCGATAAATAGTGCATGAATCTGAACCACTCTATCGGATTTCCAAGAATGATTCCCTTGATCAGATGATACTTCATAAATATATAAGTGTTTTAATGATTTGAAATTGAGTGATCTTGCACTCTTTAAATTCGTCTCATCGAGACACTCGATTTGATTATACATCTGTCAAATTCAAAATCCATCTAACCATTCAATCGACCATCCAAAGCCTCCATTCGCACTTAAACAACTTGATCTAGGCTTGATTGGACCTTGGTTGGACCAAATTTAGAGTCGTTATGTTTGTTTTTGATAAAATGAGACCTTGGATGATCGTGAATTTACATTTTAAATTATTTCTTTTTCAAATTACTCCGAGAATTATGCATGATTAATATAATTTTAAGGACATATAAATTATTATTATTATTATTATTATTATTATTATTATTATTATTATTATTATTATTATTATTATTATTATTATTTGATAATTTCTAAATATTATTTCGCTGATTTAATTCTGCTTTATAATTTTACAAGATTCAAATGGTTTTCTGGAAGGAGCCGACCGCACGCTCATAAGGCTACGTTCGAGGAAGCTTTACAATTCAGAGAAGTTCATTTAAAACCAACATCTTATTAAGAAAATTAAATTAAATTTGAGAGGCATCTAACTCCTAAGCAATACTCAATGTAAATTTAGCCATACTAACTTATGTGCTCATAAAATAATTACGCTTCACTTTTGCTAAAACCAGGTTAAAGTTAATTAAAATAAATAAATGCTCATAATTACTGATCAGGATCTTATTAAAACTGTTTAATCATCAGCATCAGTATATGGTTAAGTAAATAAACTAATTAAGAACCTAGATGAACATATTATTATATAAATAATATATATATATAATCAAACAAAAGGTTGTTCTAGATTGGCTTATTTATAATTTTGAGTAAAAAAATTTTATACGTGTTTAACTCGCTTAATGAACAATTTAAACACGAGCTACTTAACAAATTGAATATTAACTCTTCGTGAGCAATGAACTTCTTTGACAACACTAAAGGCTACTTATTTTCAATTATTTAAAATTTTGAAACATTATAAATATAATCTAAACCAAAATCATAGATCTCAAAGATTTTCATTTTTTTTTTCTAAGAAAATATAGAATCTCTAATGGCACGTCATGGACATAACCAAATTCCGCCCCTAACTCAAAGCATGTAGATGATCTGATGATTATTGATGCGAGAAAAATACGACTTCGACTAATTGAGAGTTGCACCAATTATGTATTATTAGAATCAACCCCTTTAAACTTGAAAGGCCAGAAGTCAGGAGTCAGTATAAGCCATCAAGTTTTGGGATTTACAAATTTACACGGCACAGGTAACAATATATAAAATAATGTGTATGAGCAAAGAATTATTCTTTTCTAGAGGGCAACTTCCCTTCACCATGACTTCATAAAACCAGTAAAAATTATTCAGAGTGGGAGTCATTTGGCAGATAGTTTCGCCAGCGTAAGAGCTAACATTTTCACGCCATTTGCAATGTCCGGAGCAGAGGCAAACTCTTCAGGTTTATGGCTATAACCTGCATGGTTAAGCAAAATGTGGTGAATCTAAGAGATTAATGGATATGCATTTTCCACTGTGATTTTGTATTAGGTTTTGGAGTTCAATGTAATTAATGGGTAAGGTGAACGAAAAAATTTGTCATTCTCGCTCTACATTTGCTCTTCCAATCTCCTTCATTCTCTTCGAGGCCACAGCCTTAGTCCTTTTAATGCTTCTCATTCTATATTCTAAGGGTCATTTGAGATTATTATTATTATTATTTTTTTTTATTCTTTATTTTACTTTTGTTGAACACTCGTAATAGCAGTAAAGGTATTTTTGTATGATTGCTTTTATTAGATTTAGGTCATTTGTTGATTATAAATATGTAGTCGTTTATTGTGTTACGAGTCTTTTATTCATTTGAGTTTTGTGAGAGACTGTGCTCCCTTTATGGTTCTCGGATGGAGCACGAGTCTGTATCCACGGCAATGGATGGTGATAATTGTATCTCTCCATTGTTGGTGGTGACATTGCGGATCTCCTTCCTTCGTCAATCCTTCGAGTGGTGATTTTTGTATCCCAATCGGTTGCGAGAGTATGAAACTCTTGTATCTTACATCTTTTATTTGATTAGTGCATCTTGTCTTTATTTGGTTATTTTTTTTCGATCTTGGATTGCTTTCTTGGCTGTTCTTGCTAAATCTTGTCCAAACCCCCTTCTCCGGTATCGTTTGGTGTCAAAACTAGCCTAACCCTACTTACACCCTAGGGTTACCGAATTGCTCCCAAACCTAAACCCACCAAATTGTAGCCAAATCTTAACCTAGCACTAGTCCCCCTTACTAAATTTCAAAATCAGCAACCCTAAATATTTTTCTTGCACCCTAAATCAACCCTATACACTATCTTTCACCTCTCAAACCTAAACCCACCAAACCATAGTCAATCCTTGATCTAACCCTAATTCCCCCTTACTGATTTTAAAAATCAACAACCATCAATAGTCTTTTTCTGCACCCAAAATCAATCTCATACACCCGTTTTCACTTCCTAAATCTAAACACTAGCCATGCCGCCGAAGAGATAAGTGGCAGAAGTCGAAGACCCTTCAATCCCAAGACTTTACAACAACTCCACCACCTTCAACGTAGACAACCTGACGTCATAACCGATAGATCGACGTTGGGGAGGGGTACCTTAGACCGGTTTGATCCAAGTGGGAGAGGGTCGATCGACCCTTTCCGTAGAGCTAGGTGTGTCGTCCACTCCTAATAGCAACAAGGGTACTATTATTTATTTGCTTTTATTAGGTTTAGATCCTATGTTTATTATAACATATAGTCGTTTATTGTATTATGAGTCTTTTGTTTGCGGCTTCCGGATGAGGACAAGTCTATATCGACGGTATTGGATGGTGGCAATTGTATCCCTTACTATTATTTGTTTGTTTTTATTAGGTTTAGGTCCTAAGTTGATTATAACATGTAGTCATTTATTGTATTAGGAGTCTTTTGTTTGCGGCTCCCGGATGGGGACAAGTCTATATTGACGGCGTTGGGTGGTGGCAATTGTATCCCTCAATTGTTGGTGGTGACATAATGAGTCTCATTCTTTCGTCAATTCTTCGGGTGGTAATTTATGTATCTCAATCGGTTGCGATAGTAGGAAACACCTCTCATCTTTGTTCTAGTTTTTTTTTTTTTTTTTGTCTCTGATTGTTTTGTTGGATGTTCTTATTGAAACTTCTCTGACCACTTTCTCCGGTATCATTTCATAACAGAACTAGTCTAAACCTAGTTCCACCCATAGTTACTAAATTCCTCCCAAGCCTAATCCCACCAAACCTTAGCCAAATCATGACCTAACCCTCATTCCCCCTTGTTAGTTTTCAAAATCAACAACCCTAAATATTTTTTTACACACTAGATTAATCACATACAATTTCTTTCACCTCCCAAACCTAAACACACCTAACCATACTCAAAGCTTGACCAAACCCTAATTCCCCCTTGCTGATTTTCAAAATCAACAACCCTAAATAGTCTTTTACACACTAGATTAATCACATACAATTTCTTTCACCTCCCAAACCTAAACACACCTAACCATACTCAAAGCTTGACCAAACCCTAATTCCCCCTTGCTGATTTTCAAAATCAACAACCCTAAATAGTCTTCATGCACCATAAATCAGTCCCATAAACCCTCTTTCACCTCTGAAACCTAGAAGCTTCACCAACCCCGGTAGATTGACACGAGGTAAGGGAACCCTAGACTTGTTTGGTCGAAGTGGGGGAGGGCGATCGACCCTCTTTCTTGGGCTAGGTTGTTGCCCGCTCCTAATATTAGCAAAGGTTTTTTTTTTTTTTTTTTTTGCTTTTCTTAGGTTTAGATTCTTTGTTGTTTATAAATATGCAGCCGTTTATTATATTATGAGTCATTTGTTCATTTAAATTTCGTGAGGGCATGTGCTCCTTTTGTTGTTAGCGGATGGCGACGAGTCTGTATCCACAACCTTGGTTGGGTCGATCGACCCTTTCCGTAGAGCTAAATATGTCGTCCACTCCTAATAGCAACAAGGGTACTATTATTTATTTGCTTTTATTAGGTTTAGATCCTATGTGGATTATAACATATAGTCGTTTATTATATTAGGAGTCTTTTGTTTGCGGCTTTCGGATGAGGACAAGTCTATATCGACGGCGTTGGGTGGTGGCAATTGTTTCCCTTACTTTTTTTTTTGTTTGATACAAGTGGGAGAGGGTCGATCGACCCTTTCCGTAGAGCTAAATATGTCGTCCACTCCTAATAGCAACAAGGGTACTATTATTTATTTGCTTTTATTAGGTTTAGATCCTATGTGGATTATAACATATAGTCGTTTATTATATTAGGAGTCTTTTGTTTGCGGCTCCCGGATGGGGACAAGTCTATATCGACGGCGTTGGGTGGTGGCAATTGTATCCCTTACTATTATTTGTTTGTTTTTATTATGTTTAAGTCCTAAGTTCATTATAACATGTAGTCGTTTATTGTATTAGGAGTCTTTTGTTTGCGGCTCCCGGATGGGGACAAGTCTATATCGACGGCGTTGGGTGGTGGCAATTGTATCCCTCAATTGTTGGTGGTGACATATTGGGTCTCATTCTTTCGTTAATTCTTCGGGTCGTAATTTATGTATCTCAATCGGTTGCGATAGTAGGAAACACTTCTCATCTTTGTTCTAGTTATTTTTTTCTCGTCTCTGATTGTTTTGTTGGATGTTCTTGCTGAATCTTCTCTGACCACTTTCTCAGGTATAATTTCATAACAGAACTAGTCTAAATCTAGTTCCACCCATAGTTACTAAATTCCTCCCAAGCCTAATCCCACCAAACCTTAGCCAAATCATGACCTAACCCTCATTCCCCCTTGTTAGTTTTCAAAATCAACAACCCTAAATATTTTTTTTACACACTAGATCAACCACATACAATTTCTTTCACCTCCCAAACCTACACCCACCTAACCCGAATTCCCCCGTGCTGATTTTCAAAATCAACAACCCTAAATAGTCTTTATGCACCATAAATCAGTCTCATAAACCCTCTTTCACCTCTGAAACCTAAACCCTAGCTATGCCACAAAGGAGACAAATGTCGGAAGTCGAAGGTCCTTTGATCTCAAGAGGTTACAACAGCTCCGCCACCTTCGAAGTGACAGGCTAGATGCCATATCTTGAGGAGTCGGAGGCTTCGACAAATGAGGTCTAAGCTCCACCAACCCCGGTAGATTGACACGAGGTGAGGGAACCCTAGACTTGTTTGGTCGAAGAGGGGGAGAGCGATCGACCCTCTTTCTTGGTCTAGGTTGTTGCCCGCTCCTAATATTAGCAAAGGTTTTTTTTTTTTTTTTTTTTTATTGGGTTTAGATTTTTGTTGTTTCTTGTTGTTTATAAATATGTAGCCGTTTATTATATTATGAGTCATTTGTTCATTTAAATTTCTTGAGGGCATGTGCTCCTTTTGTTGTTAGCGGATGGCGACGAGTCTGTATCCAGAGCATTGGGTGGTGAAAACTATATCCCTCCGTTATTGGTGTGATATCTGGATCTTCTTCCTTTGTCAATCCCAATCCTTCGGATTGTGACTTTTGTATTCCAATCAATTGCGAGAGCAAGAAACTCTTCTATCATGTGTCTTTTATTTGACTAGTGCATCTCGCCTTCATTATAATTGTTTATTTTTTCCTGTCTCGAATTACTTTCTTGATTGATCTTGTTGAATCTTCTCCAACTTGCTTTCTTCGGCATCATTAATAACTGCTAGGATTATTATGTTAAAATATTAATATTATGCCATGCTTAATATTCTTCAGAAATTTATATTATTTTTAATTGTAATATACTCTCATTATTGAAGACAATTTTTATTATTATTTCATCATTACGCTCTTCTTGGCTTTATGTATGCCTTTATATATGCATGTTTGTACTCAACCTATTAAAGATGCAGCCTTTCATATCTTCTTGTATTACTCTGCAGAGCCCATATATTAAAGAACGGTTCTTCATCAAAGCCAAAGCAATCTAGTTAACCAGCAAATACTAATGATCTGCAAATAAAAATTTGTGTAGCATACCTTTATAGCACGGAATGAAAATCATGCCCATAGGTGATATCCTGTAGATATTAACAGGCAATTAGAGTGTGCTAAGCAAACAAAGTCTTGTAGTGACTTAGAATTCAACTAATAGATACAAAACCTCCCATAAATGGATGTAAATCATAGCATGCATTCACGTTAAAGATGGTGGCGCATAGCAATGGATTGTTGTTAACTATGACTTGGGCTATGTTTATTTTGGTAGCTGTAGAAAAGTTGATTTCAAAAGTAGTTATTGAAGATCTGCTATTCAAAAGCTGGTGTTTCAGAAACAATTGATCTGTTTGAAAAATATAGTTCTGAAAGTGAAAAATATAGCTCCGAAAGTATTGTCGGTAGATTAATGAATGTAACACCTCTGACAATATATTATGCAAATAACATAAACATTTTTAGTGTATGTAATTTTTCTTTTTAATTTGTGCTACCCAAATAATCAGAAATACAAAAATAAAGTTATTTTCACTCTCAACACCTTCAACATGAAAATATTTAAGGTAGGATCTTTAAATAACTTAAAACTAAAAGATGTAGAAATAAATTTAAGACGAAAATAACTATTATGTCCAAATTATAAAACCATCTTTATTATACTTATCTTAAAATAAATAAATCCAAATACTTTAACCCATAATTACCCAATTTTTATTCGCATATCTTGTGTTCTTCAAAAATCATAAGGGCTAAATTTTCCTAAAAAATGCTCTAAAAAATACATGTAAAGTCTGAACATTTTAATATAATTTATGATATATTTTACAAAATAGATCATTATAATTTAAAAAAAAAAAACTTATAAACAAATCCAAATGACAAAATTTTATTCTATTTAAATATAATACATTTCAACTCTGTAAGCTCATGATTCTCCTCAACCGTGAACAGTTGAGCATGGCGAGCACACTGGAGGCTCAATGCGAGCAAGCCTACGGAGTGAAGAAATACCACATGCTAGGAACATACATGCAACCTTCATGGATCGTATCGCACGCACCACCCTCATCCTCCACATGTACTTCTACACCCCCCTCTCCTCTCGTCACTGCAAACACCATCCTCTCCATCCTCATCGTCGACTGCCCAATGAAAAAATAGCCTGCTCCGCTCTGACGACAGTGATGCTCTCCTCACCATCAAGACCATGGCTGAAGCGGCGAGCTTTGCAAATATATGGGAGTGAGATCCGCGGGCAGTCGCTAGAGCTTGAAGCAAGATGGAGGGAACAATGCAAAAAACGCTTCGAAATGCTGAGATGCAAAATTATTTTCGCCTCCGCGAACTCATCAAACCGCGGAACGCCATTCGGGCCAGTTCGCGGAGTAAAAAAACACTATTTTTCATTTATTAATAGGTGGGATCCGCAATGCCACGTGGCTGTTTTTAATTGACGTCCAGACACAATTTTGTGTCCGGTGTCCTGACTGAATAATTTTCCCAAACAAACAGCACAAAATAAGGTTTGTAACCGACTGTGATTCAAACTGTGAAACAAACGCACCCTTAGATATGCCTAATTTTAAGTGTCAATCCTAACTCCCAAGCACATTCAATGTCACAAAATAACTTACTCAGCTGTTCGAAGCTAGAAAGTAAGTATAGCAAAATAGTGGCTTTGCTAGATTCTGACATTTGGGTTGCATGTACTCAGAAAACAATATTGAATTTAAACTCAACAATCACCTGAAAGCACTTCCAATGTGCTGAATTCATTTTCAAACACAGGAATAAAAATGAAATCATAATTTTTACACGCAACCACACAGCCATTAACAAACAATGCAATAAAATGTCATTTTATTATTCTCCAAGAGATGATGCTGCAGAAGACTCTGGGAGCAGCCAATACAACAAATATCTCCAGATTAAAAATGAGAGCAAGGAATGAACAATATGGTGAGAAATCCTATTTAAATGACCTCCTTCGCAAAACATTAAACAAAAAGGAAAATTTTATTGCATGAAATAAATAGCTTTAGTGCTAGCATAAGTAATTCATAATAGAAGTAGATAATTATACCTGGCCATGAATAGGGAATCATGATAGGCTCTACTAATCATTAATTTGAAACTGAGATTCAGCTGTTCTGCTGCATCTTCCATTGTGGATATTATTGAATCAGACGAGAGAGCAGGAGGATCCTGGTTTACAATTTTAAATTTTGATAGAACGACACCACGATTCTCAGCTATCCTGATAGCAGATTGACGAATCTTGTTGACTACAATATTCCTTCTTTCTTCATCAATATCACGTGTATCTGGTAAGAAGTACGCATGTTAACTTTCAACTGTCTTTGGATTCAACAAAAGATGGTACAGATAATCATTCAGCCTTAGATTTCTAATCCAACTTTGGATGAAATGCAAATAAAAATAAATAATGATTCACATGTAGCTAATACATAATTCCAACCAAAATTTTTTGTTTTTAATATCATGCTTTATTCATTCCAAAAAAAACAAAAAAACAATCACACAAAATTAAGAAGTGCAAAAAAAAACAATGATGAATAATAAACTACAGCAATGAAACAAAATCACACTTTAAAGAAAAAGCACAACATATATCATATTCACAAAATCTTAATCATTCACAAACACTAACGACTAAATAAATGTAAAGACAAGAACAAGGATATGGATTACCCCAAAGGCAAGAACTAATCCCACACCAGTAAAAAGCCTAAAAAGTAGTCATCTGCATATGAGAAGCAAATGAAAAAATATATATCCAACAAATATACACAAGAAGAGAGAAAAACTAAATTTATTTCAATATTCAACCTCCAATATTTTGTTTACATGCCTTAAGATCTAATTTACAAAATTCATTGAACCCAAAAACAAGAAACTAGACAATCTATGGAGATCTAGTTAGAAAATAAAAGCCTCAATTCATCCTCTTGAGTTCCAACAACAACATTTCTACACTAAACACCACCTTTTGAATTGTTAAAGGATTACTGCTAAACATAAAAGCATATATCCCGAAATAACTACACAACAAGGTTACTGAAGCAGGAAAATAGCATAACTAACATAATTAGTGGCAAAAACTGTAGTATAGCAAGAAAAGAAGGGTAATAAAATAACTTAGAGAGAAAGCAGGAGCATAAAAAGAAATAGTGCGAATCAACAACAATCAACATGAAAGGAAGAAACAGCAAGCAGGAAACATAGAGGCTGAACAGTGATTTGTAGGTTCAAAAAGAGGCAGTACAGCAAATGCAAACAATATAACTAGAGATAATAACAGGACCGTGAGAACTATCAGGAATACAGGGATAGTAGTGAGAAACTTAAAATGATAGAAGTTTCGTATTTTCATGATAATCCCTAATTTAAAAATATTCAGTTTTGATGAATTAATTATCTCATGACTGTCATGAAAATCTAGCAAAACTGCTTTGTTCCTGCAAGTTAATTCAAGAAGAAGCCTATCACCCATGAAATACAAAATTAATGATATCCACTAAAAATTTTGGACACAAATCAGGCATAAAAGTTTGCTTCTGGAACAAGACCTGTAGGTCCAACTTGAAAGGTATTGGATGTAATTAACGAGGCAAGGGAAAGAAAAAATAGCAACCCCCACACCAATGTCTCATAGAATTTTCTAGTAATAAAAGAGTACCACTTTTTGATACACTTGATAGATTTAGGGTCAAATTTGGTGTTAAGTTGGGGAATGCATGTGAACATAAGGTACACACCTAAAGAGGTTTAGTGGTGTAGCAGGAAAAAACTCTGATGTGAGGATAGATAGTCATCAAAACATTAAATGGTGTTTTGAACTTAAGTACTCGACTAGGCCTTCGATTGATAAAATATATTTCACTAAGAACAGCTTCCGGCCAAAAATATCTTGAAACTTAATGGGAAATCATAATTGATCGGGATATCTTAAGAAGATGTCTGTTTTTTCTCTCTGCAAGCTCATTTTCTTGTAGGCTATCAATACATGCTCACATGGATGATTCTATTTTTCAAAAGTAGGACCCAAGAAAAGAGTTGAGATATTCCTTTGTATTATCAGTTTTGAAGATCTGAATTTGCATTTGAATTAAGTTTGAATCATGTCACGGAATGTTTGGAAGATTTGGGCTTGCTGCCAAAAAAGGTTTGAACCTTGATAGGAAATCATAATTGAGCGAGGTACCTCAAGGTGTCTGATCTTTCTCTCTGCAATCTCATCTTGTTGTGGGGGTATCAATACATGAATTAACATGGATGATTCTAATTTTCAAAAGGTAGAACCCAATAATAAAATTGAAATATTCATTTTCACTATCTGTTTTGATGATCTGAAATTTGCATTTGAATAAAGTTTAAAACATGTCATGAAATATTTGGAAGATTTGGGCTGTTTACGATCTCTTTCATTAGAAATACAAGTAGTTCTAATGTGATCGTCAATAAATGAGACAAACCATTTAGTCTCACTTTGGATTTTCACATTGAAAATCTCCAAATATCATTGTAGATAATGGAAAAAGAATGTGAGGGATTATTCCGAGTCACGCCATAACTATTTCTAATATATTTGGCAAGTGGACAAATCTCACGGTAATAAAAATTAGGTTTTTATTCATAAAAAAATGATGCACAACTTAGCAACATAATTGAAATTATGATCACTCAGACAACAATGTCATAACATGACCTATTTTTCAACAGACAAACTCAAACAAATCATAAATTTGATAAAAATATGAGGGCGGGATCATATGTGTTTAGAGAGTCTTTCTTTGAGCAGGTATAAGCTTTGATGTTTTTTAACACTACCGTCTGTTGACCTCATTTTTGAGATCTTCCTAATTCCTCCTTAGAAGCCTAGGATCTAGCTATAAGAATTTCCCACTGACTATCCTAGAGGACTAGAAACGAGACCCACACCATTTAGAAACTCAAACCACCTCTTAGTTCTTTTGGGAGGCCTCACATAGATGGTTTCAAGTCATCTCCATTTGATTGAGTGGCTAGGGCTACAAGCCATCACCATTTGGAGTGGCTAGGAGCACGAGCTATCACTATTGGGTTGAGTGACTAAGACCAACGTGTGGAGGCCCAAAGAGAGCTCCCATAGGATCAAAAGGCCTAGAAAATCCGTTCATGGCTTGGTCATGCACACATTCATACATTAGATACGCATAAACACCACAATTCACACATTCGACGCACATAAACATCACGATTCACGTCACAAACACTTGCGTACATTGCACTGTTAATTAAAATTAAATTCAATTGTCAAAATAATTGACCACGAACTAAAATTTTAATAAAACCAAATTTCATGCGTTTTTGACCCAATCGTCGAAGAGGTTGTCCGGACGAACACGGATGACGAAACAGATTGCGCCGGCGCCTTCGGAAAGTCGATTTCGCCTAGAACGGACATCCATATAGGAAAGGTTCCGAGTAGAGCCGAATAGCGTTGAAATTGTCGAATTCAAATAAAAAACATATATGAAAAAATATATAATTAAATAAATAAGATAAAAAAAAGAAAAAAACCTATTATACCTAAACTCACACACGCGGCTTCCATTCGACCGAAACCCCTCTATTCCTATCGCGGAAGCAATCGCGAAACCCTCCAGTCGTCAACTCTCTCACTCGCGAAACCCTAGCTTCCTAGGCTCCCTCCTTTGGTCGACTGAACTCCTCTTCTTCACTTCGGTGAGCTCCTCATCTCACGCTCTCTCTCGCCCAGATCTTCCAGATGCACCGTAAGTTTTCCCGCAAAGACCGTAACCGAGCTCCCCTCGTCGCACTCGAAACCGGCTGACTAGCCTTCCTTGTCGGTGACCACCTCGCTGCCTACGCTCTCTGCCTGCCTCTTCTTCACGCCGGTGAGCCTCTCACTGCCTTTCCTCCTTTTCTCGTCAGAGGTCGAGCAGCCTTAAGGAATAAAAATCTTCGGCAGCGTAACTTCTTCCCTCTTCTTTCTTCATTTCCTGTTTGTGGTCGTTTTCACATTCAATGCCTCTTTCTTAAGGAAAGCATATGATAGTTCTCTAATCCTAATCTGCAGCTTTAGTGTTGCAAGAAATTAAGTTTTTTTTTTTTTTTTGAGCCATTGTTACTTTATTAGGCTTCTGGAAATCTCAAAAGGAGCTACTTGTTTTACTTTACTTCCATGCTTTCGGTTTAATTTGGTGTTTCTTTTTTTTCCTTGTGGTAACTATCATGTCTATGATTTGCCCGTAAATATAATTGCTGGAGTATGTGGTTTGAATTACAATGTGAACACTCTACTTCATATATGTTTAGCAAAGTGCTACCTGTGTTTATTGTTTCATTTAATTTTTGCAAATAGTCAGAGGATTGTCTTGATATTTTTCTTGCTTTATTTTTGCACAACTATTTGGCATGTTTAGATCCACATGAAGACCATACATTTGAAATTCCGTTGGTTGGAAGCATTATAGCTTCCTGATTTGGGATTTTTTCTTTCAAGCTATACATTGTTGGAAAGTTTTATATTCTTGTTGATTTTGTCTTCTTCATTGCAAGCTACAGACTTTCAAATTTTATAGTTCGGTGATTTGGTTTCTTTCATTGCTATACATTGGAAGAGCCTTGTTGCTGATTGTTTTGTGCCTAGATAGATGCTAATTTGAAGGGGCTTTAAACACTTTTTGGAAGTTGATTTGATCATTGTTTTGAAAGAATTTAAACGCTTTTAGGCCGATTCACTTGCGTTTTTGCCCCTTTGCTTTGCTGATTTTTTTTTCAGAAGTGGGTCGGCCTCTTTCTCCATTTATTTGGTTTTGTTTTTTTTTTCCCTTGCAAATGGTTAAATAAAAAATGAGAATTTCTGATTTAATCATTTGAAAAACACTTAAAAGATATTTGAGGATTAGTTGAAAAAAAAATTTAATTGAGGGAAAAACACCATAAATCACTTCAAGCACACAAGTTAACGTATAGGCTTCATCTATCTAATTTTTAAATAAATGATGAAACTAAGCACCTAACCTTAATTCAAGAATTGATTAAAACACTAAACATAAGGATACAACAATATATGGTTCATAACTTTCTTAATTAAATCAAGTAATAAAATTCCCGTCATGACTTAACCTACAGTGAAATCCAATGCTCCATGATTCGAGCTTGAACCTCACACTCAAATCCTGCTGACAATTGGGAACATTCTTAATGTCACATATAAATCATCTACTCTTAGTCCTTTATATGTGACATTGTATTTTGTTTTACTTGTTAATGTTTTTTTTATGATTTGTTTAGA